TGATTCAGTAAATTCCATGTGCTGCTAGTGAAATGTTATTTCATGGTTTTAAATAAGAATAGATCACCTCAGCACTGACACATTAACTCAAGTCATGGTTTAATAAGTTCAGTGGAATGTAGGTGAATGTTATTTGCTCTATCTCGGTGAGTGGTTAATTATAGCTTTAAAATAGAAAGCGATTAAAGGATTGACCCATGATGCAGCAAGCGTAATACTGATTTTAAAACGACAAGCAAATCCTACTACCAATCCAATAGAAACTGGATTATTTCACCTGTTGCTCAACGCACGAGCAGCCAAATTCATATTATCAGAGGAATGGAAGCTTTAATTTGTCGTTTTGTTTTAATTAATTGTTTTAAGGCTATCGTTGATTTTAACATCTTTTCTGTTAACATCCTCTATGGGTCTCATTCTTTTTCAATGACACTTTTCACCTCGAGCTCAACTTTATGCAAACGAGCAGCGGTCGATACGCTGTAGCAACAACCAATGAAATTGCAGCTAGTGACCTGCCGCTTGATGCAATTGGATGCTGCGGCAGATTAGGAACGCCTCCTTGCATCCAGCAAGATAACGGACTAGAAGACCTCCATCGATTTAATCGATGTGTGAACGCACCCACTTGAGAAATTCCTAATTTTGGAAGAGAATTCACAGGGAATGTGCACAAATGGAACTTTCAGAGCTCATTGTCTGCAGGCGAAGAGAAAAGCGGAGGAGTTTGAAGTTTGTTCAGCTCGTGTCAGAAGATTTGCGAACTTGTATCAGATAATAAGCCCCATCTAATTTTGATGGGATATTCGTCGTGTTATCAATTGTATTTTTTATTTTTTGCAGCGGAATACATTTCTTATTTCGTGTTATTCAATTTAGTTTAAATGATAATTACTTTAATTACTATTTCATGTGTTTATGATACGAGTCCGTTATGGCAGGTGTTGATATGGAGACCTTTCCTCAGCTAACGTTAACCGTAAAGGACTGTTGGGTCGTTGGGCTCGAGCGCTTCGCTGTTGGTGCTGCTGGAGAAGAAGAGGAGTTTTTCGAGATTAGGACTGAATGGTCTGAAAAAAGCATAACATATCTGAGAAGGAGATATTACGATCTATTGAAACTTGTTAAGAATTTAAGTATATCATTTCCAGACGACAGAGGACGTTTGTCTCAACCAATGATGCTTAAGGGTATGACATTTATGCACATTTGTGACATTTGAAATAAGTGGTCATTTAACTGATTAGAGACTTCATTATTCTATGTGTGTATGTTTTATCAGCACTACAGAGGATAAAAGAAGCAGAGGAAAACAATAACGTTAAAACGAGGTTGGATGAAGTGGAAAAATTACTGAGAAATATAATCAAAATGCCACAAAAGGTACTTCATTAGACTAGCCTATCAATTCACTGTCAGTAATAAATGTATTGATGCCCTATTGTAAATAATTATGCAAGTAATTTATTTTCCAGTTCTCTCACTCTGAGGCAGTTCTTACATTTTTCAAGACTTCTCCTCTTGACTACACTTTGAAAACCTTGTATGAACCAATCCAGCCTCTCTACCAGAGTCCTGTCACTGTAGCTGGTGTGTTCGTGAGTTCTAATGTTGCATTGATCTTGAACTGATACTTGATTTTAAACTGTAGTTTTTAAGCGAATATATATTGCTTTTCTACAGATGTAAGAAGGGCCAATGGGTTTTGTTTGGCCAATACAGAAACTGTTCTTTTTGATCCGTATTTACTAGCACAAGGAGCAGAACCATCATCAAAGTACAGGTAAATATCTGACAAATTAACATCCTAATAGCTACTCTTCTCTTCTGTTTATATATTGCTCAAGCAAATTTGACATATGTGGAATCAAAATGTATGTGTCTTATTTCACCACATCCAGCTCTGAGATTGAGTCCCAGATGTGGACTGGAATGAGAAATGGGATCAGATGCATCAAGGAAACTGTGCATAAACCTGGCAAGTGCCTTAAGACTGCTGGTAACCCTGAAAGTAAAGACACAGACCATCAACCGAAAATATCACAGATTACCACCAGCAACATGACCTACCTCGACCTACAAGCCTGTGAGACAGACATTCTTGAATGACATAGTGCACTTGACAATGTAATTACAGCTTTCTAGGGTGGAAGTCCACAGAAATATTCATTTTTAAGGTTTAGTCTGTAAAAATAATATTTTTTAAATAAAATAATCAATTTCTAAAGGATTTCTAAAGATTTCTAAAAATGGATATGAATAATATTTTTTTAGTTAAAGCTGCAGTCCGTAACTTTTTTTGGTTAAAAATGATCCGAAATCAATATTTGAGCAAGTACATAACCAGCCAGTGTTCAAAACTATCGCCTTACTTTAGCCCGATTCACAACGGTTAGCTTATAATAATGTTTTCTAATTTGAGTGGTATGGGTAGTTTTTCGCGGGAAATTCGAGCATGGCATTGCGTCATTACGTCACGTCTGTAAACATAAAGATTCTGATTACAGTAGCCGTGGGATTACAAAGATTTGTATTTTAAAGAAAACCAGTTTGAAGGGAGCATAATTTGCTTTTTGGGTTAAAAGAATTTCTTAATATGAAATTCGAAGAGTATGACAATTAGATTAGACTGTACAAATATTGAAATCTACACGCTGATACACACCATACACATAGTGACGCAATGCTGATGTTGTTAACATTAATGATTTGAGAATAAAGTATAACAATAATAATAATTTGAACGGTTTGATGTGATATGAGCTAACCGATCTTTAGATTTAATCACCATTGGTAGCGAGATTTATGGTAATGCTTTTTTCCTCAGTTGGTCAGAACAAACGTGGCAGACTTGTTACTTACTTGTTCAGATGGCAATATATGGTGAAAATTCTTATTTGGGTCATATTCCAAGACGTAGGCTAGAATCTGTGATTGCGAAGTACAGTAAATATCCACACCGGTGCGGTGACTGACTGCCACACATACTCTTCAGAACATTAGATTCATCCGCGCTGGAGCCGTGCCGACTCACAACCCACGCAAGCTAGATAATTCCGCACACAGCTGCAATTCCAGGTTTTCAAACAGAGATGGCGACAAAGAGGCAAAACTTACGGACTGCAGCTTTAAGATTAACTAATATTAATTAAAAAAAAGTTAACCACGCCTGATTAATGTTCTTTGGTTCATTTGCCAGCATTTACAAATCATAGAAAATGGTTAGTTGATGAGTGATATCTTAAGGTCATTTATTTTGAATGAAGTCAACCAGTTATGTAAAATGTCCTATAAAGTTGTTTTACACTATATAGCCAAAATGTATGTTGATACCCATCACATATGGTTGTCATTGTTGGGGGTAACGCATTACAAATAACATGAGTTGCGTAATCAGATTACTTTTTTTCAAATAACTAATAAAGTAATGCATTACTTTTAAGTTTACAAGACAATATCTTATAATAATAAGATATCTTATGACAATAACTTTTTCAAATAAGTAATGCAGGTTACTTTGTTTTGCATTTATTCACTGACACCACTCCTGCCCCTGTGTTGAGAGAAATTGGGAGTGAGGTGCAGAGGCACTTCCTTCAGGCTGAGGCTAGTCTTACTTTTATGGTGAAAGTTTTTTTTTTATTATTAAAAATAAATAAACAAGCCCAGCTCAGGTGACAAAAAGTAACGCAAAAGTAACAAAACACATTACTTTCCATAAAAAGTGACTGAGTAATGCAATTAGTTACTTTTTTATGGAGTAACGCAATATTGTAATGCATTACTTTTAAAAGTAACTTTCACCAACTCTGTATATGGTTGTTGAGCATTTAATATAATATATTTTGGCATGAATGGTTTCCACTCTTCTTGTAAGTACTCAAATATGTCTATGAGAATCAGACATGTGTCAGTGACTCAAATATGTCTATGAGAATCAGACATGTGTCAGTGAGGTCAGAAACTGATAGGATGATGAGGACTGGCTTGCAGTCAGCATTACTGTTTATTCCACAGGTGTTCAGTGGGGTTCATGTCTGGGCTTTTGTGTAGGCCTGTCAAGTTCTTCCTCAGTAAATCATTAATTTATGGGAATTGCATTGTGCACAAAGCGGGCATTGTCATGCTGTAGGAGAAAAAGGCTCTCTCCAAATTGTTGTCACAAATTTGGAAGCACACTATTCTAAAGAATGTCATTGTATGTCATTGTATTTTTTAGATTTTTTCCCTGGATTTAAAGGGCCTGGCCAAATAGTTTGCCCATTAACTAGAAACGGCATGTTCACATACTTTTTTGCCACTTACTAAACTCAAGGTCAAAATAAAACAGATATCCTATGACAATAACTTTTTTTCAAATAAGTAATGCAGGTTACTTTGTTTTGCATTTATTCACTGACACCACTCCTGCCCCTGTGTTGAGAGAAATTGGGAGTGAGGTGCAGAGGCACTTCCCTCAGGCTGAGGCTAGTCTTACTTTTATGGTGAAAGTTTTTTTTTTAGTAATGCATTACTTTTACAAGAAAATATCGGAGTTACTTTTTCAAATAAGTAATGCAGGTTACTTTGTTTTGCATTTATTCACTGACACCACTCCTGCCCCTGTGTTGAGAGAAATTGGGAGTGAGGTGCAGAGGCACTTCCTTCAGGCTGAAACTAGTCTTACTTTTATGGTGAAAGGTTTTTTTAATTATTAAAAATAAATAAACAAGCCCAGCTCAGGTGACAAAAAGTAACGCAAAAGTAACAAAACACATTACTTTCCATAAAAAGTGACTGAGTAATGCAATTAGTTACTTTTTTATGGAGTAACGCAATATTGTAATGCATTACTTTTAAAAGTAACTTTCACCAACTCTGTATATGGTTGTTGAGCATTTAATATAATATATTTTGGCATGAATGGTTTCCACTCTTCTTGTAAGTACTCAAATATGTCTATGAGAATCAGACATGTGTCAGTGACTCAAATATGTCTATGAGAATCAGACATGTGTCAGTGACTCAAATATGTCTATGAGAATCAGACATGTGTCAGTGAGGTCAGAAACTGATAGGATGATGAGGACTGGCTTGCAGTCAGCATTACTGTTTATTCCACAGGTGTTCAGTGGGGTTCATGTCTGGGCTTTTGTGTAGGCCTGTCAAGTTCTTCCTCAGTAAATCATTAATTTATGGGAATTGCATTGTGCACAAAGCGGGCATTGTCATGCTGTAGGAGAAAAAGGCTCTCTCCAAATTGTTGTCACAAATTTGGAAGCACACTATTCTAAAGAATGTCATTGTATGTCATTGTATTTTTTAGATTTTTTCCCTGGATTTAAAGGGCCTGGCCAAATAGTTTGCCCATTAACTAGAAACGGCATGTTCACATACTTTTTTGCCACTTACTAAACTCAAGGTCAAAATAAAACTATTCAGTTTTAATAATGAATGCTAAGACACATTCATCTGTTTTTTTTTCTAAAGTAGGCCAAGTCCTTATTGTTAAAAAGATTGAAGGCTATAGGCTGATCATTATTTAAATGGAACCGGGAGAATCATTTCAGTTCATGTTTAGGTCAGTGAGCAGTTCCCATGATGTGGGATGTTAATCAGTCTTTATTGGAGCAGTCATTGTGCTCCACTTTGACATTGCATAAATTGATTTGGCTCACTGCATCCACTCAAACAATCCATACATCCTTATTTTGGGTCAAAAAGTGCTTTTTTCCATCAACGGCTGCCCTAATTTACTTCTCTAAACAACAAACAGTGGAAGCATTTTTATATTTAATGACTTCTAAAAATCGAAACCGCTTTTCATGGTCTACATTTCCTCCTTTACCTCTCACAAGGTTATCCAACTCACTGCCAACATTTCAAATGAAACATTCAAACTTGAAATAATGTTATCTCTTTCTCTATGTCAGTCCCATTAATTATCAATATTATACATAATTTTAGCTCGTATTCACAGGGTAAAGTTTGCCAACACTATACAAATTTATCTTCTTATTTCTTATAAAAAAAGACTAAAGCAAAATCATCCAGATGATTTTAACAAGTTCAAAATATTTCGAGTACTTTTTTAACGTGACCATAGGCCAAGTGACAAATTTTGTCCATTACAGCAGGCCACGCCACAAACTACTTACTGATCAATAATAACTTGGTGGTGCATTGATTAGTATATAAAAAGCTAATGTATTGTGCCACCATTCACAGACTGACACAGAGAGGAGAACAGCACTGTTTATTATTTAACACGAGAATTTAACCGCTTTTTTCACTTCTCTTAATACAATTACCATCGCTTTTGTATACAATAATTTACGACTCTGAGACATCAAACCTCACAACATGAGCCATCACTCCTCATGGAGAGGGCATCATTGTGCCCCTGGAGACATCAACTGCACTGCAGGCTTTAAGGAGTCATTGGGCAGCAGGAGCTACAAGTTGCTCCATGTGCCTTTCCATGGGCCGACCCATTGCCACCAGCATGAGCCTCCACACCCGTTCCCCACCGTGGATGTTCCTGATTATGCCCACTACATCATCGGCTCTGTCATCTTAATAGTCGGCATCACCGGAGTGATTGGAAACGCACTGGTGGTCTACGTGTTCTGCCGTAGCCGTACTCTTCACACCGCAGGGAACATGTTTGTGGTGAACCTGGCTGTAGCTGATTTCTTCATGTCCCTCACCCAGTCACCGGTGTTCTTCGCAGCCAGCCTGCACAGGCGCTGGGTGTTCGGCGAGCGCTCTTGTGAGCTCTACGCCTTTTGCGGCGCTCTCTTTGGGATCTGTTCCATGATGACTTTGACTGCCATAGCTGCCGATCGCTGCCTCGCCATAACTCAGCCTCTCGCCCTCGTAGGCAGAGTTAGTCGACACAAAGCAGGTGCGGTATTGGCCGTCGTGTGGCTCTACTCCCTGGGCTGGAGCCTTCCACCATTCTTTGGCTGGAGTGCTTATGTTCCAGAGGGTCTTCAGACTTCCTGTTCTTGGGACTATATGACCTTCACTCCTTCAGTGCGTGCGTACACCATCCTCCTCTTCATTTTTGTGTTCTTCATCCCACTAGGCATTATTGCCAACTGCTACTTTGGAATTTTCCAAGCTATCCGAGCTGCGGGGAAGGAAATACGAGAGTTAAATTGTGGGGAAACGCACAAGGTGTATGAACGCATGCAAAATGAATGGAAGATGGCGAAAGTCGCCCTCCTAGTCATTTTGCTTTTTGTAATATCGTGGTCGCCCTAAAATCGAAACAGCTTTTCATGGTCTACATTTCCTCTTGGTGACCTCTTTACCTCTCACAGTGTTATCATTTCAAATGAAACATTCAAACTTGAAATAATGTAATGAAAGTAGGGCCATTATGTGGAAGGGGATGTCTTTCTCTATGTCAGTGCCATTTTATTATACATAATTTTAGCTCATAGCCACAGGGTAAAGTTTGCCAACACTCTGTATACAAATGTATCTTTTTATTTCTTCTTATAAAATAAAGACTAAAGCACAATCATCCAGAAATAGCAACAGGTTCAGTATGATTTAAAGTGTTTTTGTTTTTTTACTGTAAACGTAGGCCAAGACAATTGTTGTCCATTATGACAGGCCAAGCCACAAACTACTTACTGATCAATAATAACTTGGTGGTGCATTGATTAGTATATAAAAAGCTAATGTAGGGAACCACCATTCACAGACTGCTTTTTCGCTTCTCTAAACAAAATTACCATCAGTTTTGTATACAATAAATTTACGACTGAGACATCAAACCATACAACATGAGCCATCACTCCTCATGGAGAGGGCATCATTGTGCCCCTGAAGACATTAACTGCACTGCAAGCTTTAAGGAGTCACTGGGCAGCAAGAGCTACAAGTTGCTCCATGTGCCTTTCCAAGGGCTGACCCACAACCACCACCATGAGCCTCCACACCCTTTCCCCACCGTGGATGTTCCTGATCATGCCCACTACATCATCGGTTCTGTCATCTTAATAGTCGGCATCACCGGAGTGATTGGAAACGCACTGGTGGTCTACGTGTTCTGCCGTAGCCGTACTCTTCACACCGCAGGGAACATGTTTGTGGTGAACCTGGCTGTAGCTGATTTCTTCATGTCCCTCACCCAGTCACCGGTGTTCTTCGCAGCCAGCCTGCACAGGCGCTGGGTGTTCGGCGAGCGCTCTTGTGAGCTCTACGCCTTTTGCGGCGCTCTCTTTGGGATCTGTTCCATGATGACTTTGACTGCCATAGCTGCCGATCGCTGCCTCGCCATAACTCAGCCTCTCGCCCTCGTAGGCAGAGTTAGTCGACACAAAGCAGGTGCGGTATTGGCCGTCGTGTGGCTCTACTCCCTGGGCTGGAGCCTTCCACCATTCTTTGGCTGGAGTGCTTATGTTCCAGAGGGTCTTCAGACTTCCTGTTCTTGGGACTATATGACCTTCACTCCTTCAGTGCGTGCGTACACCATCCTCCTTTTCATTTTTTGTGTTCTTCATCCCACTAGACATTATTGCCAGCTGCTACTTTGGAATTTTCCAAGCTATCCGAGCTGCGTGGAAGGAAATACGAGAGTTAAATTGTGGGGAAACGCACAAGGTGTATGAACGCATGCAAAATGAATGGAAGATGCCGAAAGTTGCCCTCCTAGTCATTTTGCTTTTTGTAATATCGTGGTCGCCCTACTCCATGGTGGCCCTCACCGCCACGGCTGGCTATTCCCACCTCCTGACTCCCTACATGAATTCAGTACCTGCTGTGATCGCCAAGGCCTCAGCCATCCATAATCCCATCATCTACGCAATTACGCATCCGAAGTATCGGGCGGCTATTGCCCGTTACATTCCGGTACTCCGCCCCATCTTGCGTGTCAAAGAGAAGGATCTCCGTTCCTCTTTTAGTTCCGGAAGTGTCAGTTCACGTCGTCCGACCCTCACCAGCCAGTGCTCTCTGGGGGTTAGCATCGGCAATGCTGCACGAGCTAATAGCCGCTGGGGGAAGACGCGCTTGTCTTCTGCTTCAGATAGTGATTCTTGTTGGACTGAGAGTGAGGCTGATGGTTCCAGCGTCAATTCCCTGACCTTTGGTCGTCGTGTGTCCACGGAGATCTCTACAGATACTGCCATTCTCTCACCAGGGTCAAGTACTAACAGCTCCAGTGGGCAGAAGCCAGAGAAGACGCACAAAGTTGTAAGCGCACCGGTGCCGTCTATTACTTTTGAAACAGATGCAGCCGATGGCGAGTCTCTGTCTGATGGGAAAGCTTTGCTCCTTGGGGGGAAAGAAAGGGAATGATGCAGTGCTTCAGAGTAACTTTGGTACTAGTAACTTTAGTAGTTGCTTTGACCTATTCTTTTTTTAATTTAAATATATATTCACATGCCCTTCTTTACTTTACAAGCCTCTGTCTTGTTAGTTTTGTGAACTTTGTTTTTGAAATTAAATGATTTTCAGGTTTGTGTGAATTTAGCAGATGCATTTATTAACTTCAATGATTTCCTTCATAAAATGTAAGCGTTTGTTAATTACTTTCTTTTTATTAAAACCTTTATAATAACCATATTTTTTCCCCTTGTTTAATCTGAGGATATTCTGGTGTGGATTTTAATAGTTGAGTAAATGTATCTAAATGATGTTTGGCATCATTTTTATTTAAATAAAACAGCATATACAAATATCTTAAGTAGTCTTGTTTATTTCTAACGTTCATTGTATTTCTAGTTGTTGTGTCGCAATAAAACAAATCCAGAAAAATGTAGTGCGTTTTCATGTTTTATATCTGGGGTCCAAAATGTTAACAGTTCTCACACAGGCATTAAAGGTTATTTACCAAAAGTTTTAACCTCACATTTAAAGTGAATATAAGGTCACATTTAGTTTTGCAAGGGAAAAAAATGGCAAATTTGGTTGAGGAGTAAATTGGACTTTGAATTGGTGTTTGAAATGCATGATTCATAAATGTTTGAAAATTGTTTAGTACTGTAAATACATTAATTTTGTCTCATATACACAACTTAGACTATTCCTACAGTGGCTCTAAAATATTTAGACAATTAAAATACTAAAATACATAAAAAACGTATGAATTTCATTTTGTAGAAGACTGTCAGAACTTGCACTTTATATTTTATAAACTTTATTTGACCCTCTCTAACTCTAGCACTCTCTATTCTAATTCTGTTCTTAAAAAACACTTGTCCCTTTTAGACTTGCACTCTATTCATTTGCTGCTTGTTTTCTTAAAAAAAAAAAACTAACTTAACTTTTCTAATCTTTTTGTATTCTATCTGTTTTCTTTTCATTTATTATACAATTAACAAAAGCAAAAAGACCTCTAACACTAGCTTGCTCTATTCTTTTTCTATTCTGTTTTCTTTTTATTTATTATATAATTTAAAAATCC